AAAGACGAGAGGGGCCGAGTTCGCTGGGAGTAGCCTTGGTGGAATGAGAAGGTGTGGGAGAGGGAAGGCGGCGAGGGGATTAAGCAGGTAGAAGCTTTGTGCGCGGTGAGAGCCGGGTGTGCGCATTCTGCCTCAGTGCTGGTTTGGCGTGTGTGCGCGCGCGCCCGCGTTTCTGGAATGTGGCATGTGTCAGGTATGTGTGTGGCGTGTGTTTGGTATGTGTGCGCGCGTGCTGTGGCAGACGGGGAAACGCTGGAAGGTGCACGCGGGGAGCTTCCATAAACGGGTGACTGAGGGAGGAATGCGAAGACTAGAATGTTAACAGACAATGGAAATGTGGCAAGATGAGAGGGTAATACTATATTTTCGTCTGGAGCAGGAGAGAAAGGACTAGAAGTTCCCCCAAATTAAAAATGGAGGGCGGGAGAAGTGGGAGGGAGGCTCCTGGGAAATTAAAGGGGTAAGGCTACCGAGGCTGCTTGGGGTGGAGATTTCAGTAAAAGCCTGCCCAAAAAACGAGGGGGGGAGGTGACTGTTGAGCTGTTTGTGGGGGCAGGCTCGGAGGGGGTGCAGTTGAAGGTTTTCCAAGCCTGTGGAGAATCACAATCACCTGAAGCACTTGGAGGGGCAATACAAATGGTTGCTTTGACTACCACCATAACCCTGGAAGAGTTATGGGGGGAAGGTCAGGAATTTGCATTTTCACGTGCTCCTGGACTCTTTGGAAAGGAAGAAGAGAATTTTTAGCTTCTCCAATATGGACTCATAAAAGCAGGGAGCTCTGGAGTGTGAACACATTGACTGGGCTCTTAACCGCTGGTCTAGAGGGTAGAGGATGAAGGCTATTCCATAGGCACCCGTGCTTTGTTGTATTTTTCCCATCCAATTGAATCAAAATCAGATGTGGTAAGGTTCCTGAGGAAAATATCAAAGACCGAACTTCTGTAGGCATGTAACTGTCAGAGGAGCTTGAAAATCAAACCTTTATTGTCACATATAGAGTGGCACACCTAGACGCAAAAAATATCCATGTAAACAAATACCTGTTATTACTGGGCTATACCATAAAGTCATCAGAACAGGTGCCTGGAGCATGGTCTGATCGTGGTTTGCAAACTCACTGAGAGGCAGGTTGGCCTTTGTGCAGATAACAGAACTAGGAGCCGGGCAGCCTGGGTTCCATTCTTGATTGGAACACTGGCCAGCTGTGTGACAGGGTGCAAAGTGTTGTTCTCTCTGAGTCTCTGAAAAATGGTAAAGATGTCCCACAGTGACATCTCAGAGTCCCTGCACTGTCAAGCAGTGAGTCCATGAATTTGTGAAAACATCTTGTGGAGATGATACTTAATGTTTAAAAAACTCCTGAAAATTACTCATTCAAATGCCTTTTATGCCCTGCATGGCACTTTTGTGGGTGCTAAGCAAAACAGACACAAATCTCTGCTCATGGATCTTAACATTCTCTTGAATTTACAGTACAGTGAATAATATCTATTCCCCAAAGACTTTTAATGCTTTCATCCAACTTTGCTTAAGTGTTCTGTGACTAATTTCTGAAATGGTGATTTTTAAACCGTACAGGTATCCTATTTTCAAGCACTAGAGGCAGCCAGTTCCTCTGGAGTTGTACATTTGTGGAGACTGATTTTTTTTTAACCTCCTATAGTAGAAATGGTAGCAAGGAATGATGGTTTAAAATAACTACTTTTCTTTGGAATTTTATTTGCATGTAAAAATTAATCATAAATTTGTAATTGACTAAAAATCATAATTTGTAAGAAAAATTCTTTAATTGGTGGATGGAAGTTTGGGGTGACAAGGCATAGTGCAACTCAATCCATTTCATCTTGGCACAGTGGTTACCTGCAAACTTGAATGTCAGGGCTGGGATTCAATCTGCCTTTGGGGAAACAATGCATTGTTTAAAGTACACTGGATTCTTTTCATTGTTCAATATTTAAATAAGTCTAACCATCAACTCCTAAGTACCTACAAAATGATTCATGGCTCCATGTTAAAAGTTCAGTATAACATATATATATATATCAGCATAGTGTTTCATGGAACTATTTTGAAATACTGAGTCAACATTTCTTTCCATGAAAGAAAGTTCAGTATTTGCAGTTATCCCTTCAAGCCCACCAAAAACAGTTGATGGAGCTGACCTCTGCTGTGTTCTTTCTTATTTATTGACAGTGAGATTATATAACGCATGGCTGGATTTCTGAGTCACCAATACTTTCATAAACGACTTAAGTAGATACCACATGTTAATGTTTCTTATAGTCTCACAACTAGAGATTTCTGTAAGATAATCTCTACTCATTAAAGAATCTTAGAAGACAATATCTCAGAAGACAATGCTAGGGAAACGTTTTCATTTATGCCCTATAATGTAAGTTGATATACTTATGGCGACAGCTTTCTTAGGTGTAGCCTAAGTGCCTAGAACAAAGCCAACCAGTGGGTTCAATGTCCTGAGGCTGAATTGTGACTCATGAACTCTGAGATTTATATCTTGGATGGTTCCCTACCACCATCACCCACATCTCCCCTACCCACCAAGATAATCACTCTGGCTTCTTTTGTTAGGTATTTGGAATTTACAGGAAGTGGATGATAATGTTCTTTAGATTTAGTTTTAGTTATTTCTGAGTTTACTGACAACAGATCTGTAAAATGTCCACTACATAACATTGTAAATATCAACATTTTTTTTTAAAGATTTATTTATTTATTTATACAGAACTGGGGTATAGGCCAGAGATGCGGAGGGTGAGAGGATTCACCAGAGACAGAGTGGGGAGCAGAACAGACAGATCGAGGAAGTACACTGCTGAGGGGAGCAGCGGGCAGGTCAGGAGAGGTCTGCCACGCCATGTGGATCTCCTCCAGGGCAGGCGGGAATCGAACTCATGCGGAAGTGGGTTTAGATTCTCAGTGCTGTGCTTTTAACCCGCTGCGCCACCAGGGAGGGCCCAATATCAACATCTTTTATGGTTTCAAAATGGAGCTTGATATTTTTAAAAAATGACTTCTGTATTGTGCAAGGAAGCCATTTTCTGTGTATAAGCCACAGAGAAGTTGACAATGTAATAAACAATTGGTCTTTGGTTTTGTTTTGTTTTTAAAGAGGGACCTTACGGGGTCTTTGCCGGAAGAGATGCATCCAGGGGCCTTGCTACATTCTGCCTGGATAAAGAAGCCCTGAAGGATGAGTATGACGACCTTTCCGACCTCACTGCTGCCCAGCAGGAGACCCTGAGTGACTGGGACTCTCAGTTCACTTGTAAGCAGTTTTTTAAAACTTCTGCCTAGATCAAATTACCCGTAATGGGATTCGCAATAGTACAATAGTTATTACTAAGTAGCCTGACACTTGGGAGCATTTTGATAGGCTCCTCAGTCTAGATGGATCAAGTTCATGGCTTGAAGGAATTGCAGCAGTGCTGAGTCACTTGCCGGGATTGCAAACCAATTTTTTGCTAGTTCTCAGTGGAGATTTGGGTTCTTGTTTTTTAAATTTTCAAGAGCTTTGTAGAGATTTTATGCTAGGGTTTAGTGCTTGCTGTGTAGAGGAAAGGAAAGTTGCCCTCTTGGCTACAGAAAGGGGTTTCTCATCAGCCCTCTCTAGCAGAGCTTGCTGCTTAAAAGCAGCCCACATCTCTGTTGAAGAATGGGAGATTTGTATTCTCCAAAACTGCTTCTCTGAATGGAATTGAGACTAACCATAGGACTCATCTACAAGTGATGCTTATAGTCTGCACCCCACAAGAATGGTGTCTGTAGCACCCCACAAGAATGGTGTCTGTATCTTTAAAAAGGAAAGGGCATACTTGTATCTTGGCTGACACTAGAAGTCTTTCGGGGAAAGGAGTGTTATTGTGAGGTTAAGCTTAAATGTTGAGAACTAGGGAATTAGATTTTGTCAAACGGAAGTGTTGATCGCTTAAACAGTATGTATGCCAATAATATTAATCAAGAATTTGATCATCTCTTCCAGGCATAAATAGTATATAAAACCGTGACTATTTCTTTGAGGATGATTTTGCATTTAAAATGTAGTTTTCTATTTGCTGATCTTCATTAGTTAAATAACATTGGTTCTTGGGGCTAAATCCAGTTTTTGAAAATGATATTGACTATGAAGAGAATTCTGGATTAATCGTTAATCCAGAATTAATCCAGATACAGCTCCACGTTTAGAGTTGGGATTGCACACAAACTAAGTATTTAAACTTTAAAATCTAGAGGCAGGTCTTTTTTTTTTTTTTTTTTTTGCCTTGCACACATAGTTTAAGTCCCACCCCCCCCCTTATCCTTTCCATCCTGAAGATGCCTTTGTAAGAATATGTTCTATATAAAACCAATGAGCTGTCGTTTCTAACTCACAAAGCTGTTTTCTAGGACTTGCCTTCATCAATGGGATAAGAATTGTGGTTCCACCCCCAAACACAGGCTTGCCCCCCATACTGTTGTGACACTTCAGCTCTTCTCGCAGCTGGTATGGATTCCCTTAAGGCAGGGTTCTCAGGCACCACCACCCAGGCACCTTGGGGGCCTTGAGAAATATGTTCAGATGGGGAAGTTCCAATTGTTTTCTGATGATTACTTCACACAGAGACAGCTCTGGTTACCTGGTTAGGCAGGTTGGTTACTCTTAGTTCCTACCCATGTTCAGGAGGAGGAGACTTGGCTTCTGACCTTGGGCTGGTTAACCCTGTGTTAGCTTGGATGGCAGGAGCCCTGATTACAATGGTGCTTTGCACTACTTTCATTGCATAGAGCTTCCCCCACGCCCCATGTTGGGGGAGAAGCACCCATGTCCTGCTGGCCTTTATCCATCTTTCCTTCTCTTCACGTCAGACAACAGTCTGCTAACTGGTTGTCCCTAAATGCTGCTCCTTTGTCTCTTAATGCCTTCTTATTCCCTACAGTATGGTTTCTATCCCCAAAATTAGATTCAGCTTTCTCAGTTTTCAGGCACCTGCTTTTTGCCAATACTAACTTCATTCCTCCAGTCCCTGTTGTAAATCTATCATATGCGCCCCCCCCCAGGAGCTCCCACAGAAGAGTTCCCTTTTCAGTCCCTGGGATGTCCAGTTTTCATTTTATTAACTCATTTTTCCAGTTTTTCTTTAAAGTATTGTGTATCCTTCCTTTTCCATTCCCACAGGCAGCCCCCCACTCAGGCTCATGTTCCTTCAGGTGCAGAGCTGCCTGCTGGCCACCTGGTCAGCCTTACTGACTCTTTTACTGACACTCCTGCTTTCTCCTTACTGAAATTTGCCCTATACACAGTGATACTGTTGTTGCCAAAGCAACATTTGGCTGTGCCATTCCTTTGTCATAAACTTTCAGTGTCCTTTGTCACTAGAGGATAAGTCCAAACTCCCCGGGCTAGCTTTCCACATCCTTCATAGTATTTCCCCACACTGCCTAGCTGACCTTAACTTTGCCCCTGTGACTTGGTATCTGTGTTGTTCCCCATACCGTCTCACCTGCTTGCCTTCATTAGTGGTGTTTTCATTTTCTGCAAACCCTTCCCAAGTCCTGCACATTTCCCAAAGCAAATCCTTAGCCCATAAGGTATCCTGTAACCATTAGAACTCAGTGAGCTCTCGTTCTGCTACTAAACACTTTTCCACACACCCACAGCTCCATTTACCTGTACACTCAACGTCAGCTTTCACTACCTGCTTTGTATTCTCAACAAAACTTAATTCTCTATTGGCAAGGACTGTTGTATAAACTTTTTTTCCCATCCTTCAAGAAATTCAGATGTTGATGTGTAGATTATAGGCCCCAAATAATAATATTACAAAGGAAATGTTATGATTTGCTATTAATCACAAGAGTGATGCTTTGTGTTTTCTTCTCTGCTTCCAGTCAAGTATCATCACGTGGGCAAACTGCTGAAGGAGGGGGAGGAGCCCACCGTGTACTCAGATGATGAAGAACCAAAAGATGAGAATGCTCGGAAAAATGATTAAAGCATTCAGTGGAAGCATATCTATTTTTGTATTTTGCAGAATCATTTGTAACATTCCAGTCTGTCTTTAAAACATGGTGATTTCAATATTTAGAAAAGTTTTGAACTTGCTGTAAAGTTTTTAATTAACATCACTAGTGACACTGATAAAATTAACTTCTCTTAGAATGCATGATGTTTGTCACAAGTCCAGAGAGTAAGCACAGTGATGTAATAGGATTGTTACTGCTGTCTAAATTCTTTTTTCCTGAGAAACAAATAGGACTTCGGTATTTCCCCCAGACAGGTTAAAAAAATAAAAAGGTTCAATGCACAGAGTCCTTCAAACACTAAGAACAAAGGATTAATATTTCCTCACAATAGTCTCTAAAGACAGCAAATCCCTTATTTCTCAATTGACTTCACTGCATGATTTCTGTTTTATCTACCTCTAAAGCAAATCTGCAGTGTTCCAAAGGCTTTGGTATTGATTTGCAGGAGCGCGGCCCAATAACTAGATCTGAAAGATGGCTCAGTTGAAGAAACCTATTGACTGTTTCTTTCTAGACCACTGCAATGTCCTTGTCTTCCTCTGGACACTCCAACGCCCTCACTAACGTAATCTTCAGTGAGGATTTAGACATGATTGCAACACTCAAAAAAAAGCTTAGGAAAAAATTGCTTGCTTGCCTAAAAATCTAAATAATATATGAAGATGATAGGACTGTCTGATAGTGTCTTCTGACACTTCACATTCATGGTGGGACAGTGGTTATTTGACATGAGAGGAACACCTGCGACAGGTGTTTGCTCCAAGGGCCTTCATACACCCGGAAGAGAGACTACACATAACTAGTGTGGTTTTAAAAGTATATTCACAAGGTGACAGTCACTGTTACTACAAAACTGTAAGGCACCCCAAGAGTAGTCAAGTATCCCAGTCTATCGATATTGGTCTTTTGGTTAACAATAAACATAGTTAAGTAGACTGTACAGTTGTATGAAGTTGTAAAGGTATTATATGAATAGTGAGGGTTCAAACTCTTGTAATTGTAGTTAAATAGTTGTATTTTCTTGTGAACCGTGTTTAATGGTTTTACCTCAAATCAAAACACAATGAAGTGCTTTGGTGAGTTAATAAAATGGTTGGCCCCAGCATACAATGGTGGGTTTTGTTTTTGTAACCTTCATCTATGAAACCAGATTCAATCATTTTACTTCTTCAGCTTAATACTGTTAGTTTTGAGGATTTTTTTTAATCCATAAGAATCAGGGACCAGGCCCTCCCTGGTGGCGCAGCAGGTTAAAGCACAGCACTGAGAATCTAAAAGCTGCTTCCACATGAGTTCGATTCCTGCCTGCCCCAGAGGTGACCACATGGCGCGGCAGACCTCTCCTGACCCACCTGCTGCTCCCCTCAGCAGTGTACTTCGTCGATCTGCCTGTTCTGCTCCCCACTCTGTCTCTGGTGAAGCCTCTCACGGCCCCTGAGCCTCTGGCCTGTACCCCAGTTCTGTATGCACAAATAAATAAGTCTTAAAAAAAAAGAATCAGGGACCAAAAGTTTATAAAACCAATTACCAGCTTGTCTTGTTTAGAATTAGTGAATCAATTTTTTTGTTTCTTGTCCAATTTTGCCTTTTTAAGTCAGAACTTTCTAAACTGTCAAGACATTGAGGTCTATAGCTATGTTATTAAGGGGTAAATTGTGCTGAAGGTATTTTAACAAGTGTTACGGTCTTAGGGATTTCATTTTAACATGCCTTTGGACAGGAAAGTATTCAGGAGTCTTTAGCAGTCTTAATTCACTTCGTGTCAAAAGAAGGATGTCAGATTTGCAGGTGCAAGTCTGGTTGTGTAAGCAACATATTAGTCTGAATTTTAGTGTTTTGCCATCTTACGCTATTAAAATTGACAATTTTTCTTACAAAGATGTACTTCAAGAACCAAAAATGGCTCACAACTTTACTTTTTTTTTTTTTATTTTATCAGATCGGATTAGTTGCTTCTTTTAAAATATGCCCTATCCCCCCAAGTAGGCTTCCTTCATTTATCAAATGATTTCTGTTCCTATTTGTGCCAAGTGACTGGTTATGCTACATACTTAAGAGACTGGGTGGGAGAGAAGCTGGGCCACCTTTGTAGCCTGAAATCTCATTTCCACATGAAGATTAGGCTACTCCTTTTACAGAGTTAAACAGGTTTGTCTAATGCCAAGAGGAAAACTTCCAGAGCCTGGTCAAAGCTTCCACCCCAGAGAGCCTGATTTCTCCTCCATTCAGAACTAAGCTAACACTGTTGATTCCATGTAAAAGGATATTACTCTAAGGCAGAACTTTGTTCTAAAAAACATCTCAAATCCAGCTAGCATATTTGTGAGCCATATTATGTAAAAGGTGCCACTCCAGCAGATGGGGGAGTGGTTGGTACAGCCACCAAGCCAGCAGGGGAGGTGTGAGGACCATCTCTGACTCCTGCAGGCACAGTACAGATGCTGATCTGTGGGTCTTGAGCCACATTTGCTAAGCCTTTTCAGTATCTGGGGGTCATTCCATCTAAGGTCACATTCATCTTAGTTCACAGGTTTTCATAGAAAATGTTCCTGCACGTGGGCAGCATGCCAGCCCAAGACCCAGAACAAGCATCCATACAGTCCTTGCTGTGTCAGAAAGAGATCTTTGAACTCAACAAGGGCTCTTTCAGCTCTAAAGTGCCCAGATTATATTCTAAGGTACAGGCTGTTATGTAACACTTAGCTGCGTTTGCTGTACATTTCATGTGAAAAGACTGAACTCTTGAATGGTCAAAGACTGATTACTGAGGTCCCTAGATGTAAAAACAGTGTTACCTTGAATTTTAGTGCTTTGTCATTTTATTTTTTAAATTAGCCTTATAAGAGGTGTAGTCCCTGTGACTAGACCTCCCATTCCCCACCCACATCTACTTTTGGGGGGGTATTGTATGATTTAACCATTTCCAATTAAATACCGAGGGTCTGAGATGAAATTCCAGAGAGTCCATTTTGCTACCTTTTAATAGCACCGATAAAACCTTTGCTGAAGGGAGGACAGTCTTAGATCCAAATATGATTTCAGTTTGTCCACAACAATAAAAGTGGTTTCATGAGCTCTGGCAGAGTCAGTTCCCACAAACCTCCACAAAGGGAAAAGTTACAGAGAATGTTAAAACAGGACATGAAGATTTTCATAGAAAATGTTCCTATATGTGGGCAACATTCTAGACAATACATGCAATAAATGAACAAAGACTCTTCTTCAGTATGACAATTTTATTTTTAATATACTTGAAAAGTAAATGTGAGTAACTTCTCTGACAATTGAAGGTGAGAGAAAGGATCAGCAATATTAGTGCAAAGCAACATACTTCAGGTAGAAATTCCCTGTCCTCCCCAGGGAATTATCAACATGTATTTAAAAGGTAAGATTTTAAACAGTCTTGCAACCAAAAAACACATTTATTTGGTTCTTATTTTCAAAATCACCGGGTTACACGGCTTTCTACCTGAGAAATTCAAACAAATGGAACAAAACCACATTGATTGCATTTTCTTAAAGCACTGTCAGTTGCACATACAAGGAAAAGTGAAAACACCTGTTTAACATAAAGTTCAGGACCTTAATAGGTCATGGAAAAAAGAGAAAATATTTTGCACGATGTAATAGCAAAATAAAGAATAACTTAATTAGTAGAAAGTGATTACAATATTTTCAGTTCTATATCAGTCCTTACTAAGCCGTTCAATTAAAAAGCACAGGATAAGTGTTCTCTTCTTTGTTTAAGGCTTATATAAAAAAAAAAGTTTACTCAACTCTAGAATTCATTACATAAGATGTAAAAATCCAAAGTTGTAAAGTAAATATAAAACCAGTATTTTTACTTTCTTAGAGGTTCCATCATGATATTTAGCAAACAAGCAGAAGACAAAATGTTTTCTAGATGTGACTTAGCACCAGTTCTGTTGTACAAAAAAAAGTTTCACATGCTGTATTCTCCAATTTTTTAAAATATCTGGTTACTGTGCAGCAAGTTGTTTTCATGCTTAAAAACTCCTCGAAGAAAAATTATCAAATTACAGAAGTAAGTGAGATTTTTTTTTTTCAAAACAAGCATAATTTCTTTCTGTAACAAATCCATAATGCTCTTTGTTTTGGTAGCATAAAACAATGAGGCAGGGTTTTATTGGTCAAGAATATCTAGTTATTGAAAGTAGACAAAGTGCAAGCTGTTAGTTTAAAAGGCTACTCTGGACAATAACACCTTGCACATTAATAGACATTGCTAGTCCTCAGAAAGGCATACGCCTCAGGAGAGATTTTTTTTTCCCAAAAATGACGGGCCAAATCCAGTTTTGATGGCAGAGTCACTGGCTTGAAAGTGGAATTGACAAAAAGTCAACAAGCCTTTCATTGGTTATTTTATCAATAATAAAAATAATCTGCTATGTTACATTCATTTCTGAACTTTTGCATGTCTTAGCATCTTTCTCCTGGATTAGAAGTGAACAGTGAAACAACTTATGGCTCTTGTAGTACCACTGGATGTTAGGTTGCTCAAGAGGCTGGTTATGAGTGCATGTCATGCTTCACCATTCAGAGAAACCACACTGGCATCCAGAATTTGCTCTACCAGTTGCTACCTTTCTATAGTGTTATCAAGTGAAAGATTTTTGAAACAAATCATGACATATAAAAGACATGCTGTCTTCCACTAGTCTTGTGGATTGAAATCACCTTTCTTGCTAAAGGCAGTCTAATCTCATTGATGTCTTCCATTGCCAAGTCAGATATTGTAGCTTTAGTGTGTGTATGTGGGGGTGGGGGAGCGTGAAGATCATTGACTGCCCCTGAGATCCTAAATCCAATATAAGGCATAATGGATCAGCTCAGTGCTCAGTAGAACATGCATTAAGGTGTAAGTCTTTACCAATCTATAAAATATCTCAATTTAAAAACATATTTAAGAAGTTCAAAACCAGTAGGTTAAAAAGATAAATTGCAATTGTTCACAGCTTACAAATCCTGCGTACATACAGTTTTTCCCCAGATAGAAAACCATGAGCTTTGCCAACAACTCTCCCTAACTCCATGGAATTATTGAGGATTGAGGAGGCACTTGTTATTGTTTTATAAAAGTCAGTTTGGGGATATTCAGTGATTTTTTACAAACTGGTGTCACCCAGTCCTGAGTAAGGATTACATAATCTGAAATGGAATGGTCTCTCTTCCAAGTGCCATTGATGGAGCCTCAGTATCTTTCAATATATCTTTTTGCAAATCCCACTGGTTGTATACTCCAATTCTGTTTCATTTTTAGGATGGAATGACATGATGCTTTTCAAGTCTGTTAAAGGTCTACCATCTGTTCAAGACTTAAATGACAACTTGAGTCCTTTTTAGATATTTCTTCCAAGATGCCATCTCTGAAAAGACAGCTCTTCGAGTACTATGAATCGATTAATAAGATTAATTGCCTTCTGGTGGGCACTCATGAAACTCAAATGTCATGAAGTTCACTATATGTTCTAGCTGTCACCTCTTTTTATCTATAGTTCTTTCTAGATAAGTCAGGAAAATCTGTTGCTACACAAGTTAAAGATCAGGTACAAAGGTCTTGGTCATTCACTGTTGCCCTTCAGAAGATATGTGATACCAAATGATGATATTATTAACAGCAAGAGTCAAAGAGGTTTATCTCAACTACTTCAGATGTTACTTTGCTGCTTCGCTGGCACTAAATTAAAGTTTTCATTGAATTGTTGATATATCTGTTCTTAGATCAGGAAGTTTTGTGAGCACATTGTTCTACCAAGCATCAGAATCTAGATATTTTGTATTTCCAACACTTACAAACACAACTGCAGTCATTCTGATCTAAGCTTTATACTTTGGTAAGAGAAACAAGTTCTTGCTTTTGACCTTGCTCAAGTTTTTAAACGCCACTCTCTTGTTCTGCAGTTGTTAACTACATAGCTATATTTGGTTTTAATTTTTTTTCTTGCAAGTTGTTTCTTGTGAATAATGGTGTTCCTGATCCAAGAGACCTTCAAAACATTTAAAAAGAACCAGTGTACTTGTTTCCTGAATAGTTGCCACGGTCAAGGTATTCCTGGTGGCTATATGGAACGTAATTAGCAAATTTCATTGTGAAATCTTTTGAGTTCTCATGATATCTGAATCTTCTTGTATCCCGTTTATATTCTGACTTCCATGGGATCTTTCTTCTTTTCAGGACATTCCGCATCTGGAAAGCATTAGCACTTTTGGTGGTTGATATTGGCACATGAGATGGCCTATAGTTCACGCTTTGGTCAAATGTATTATCACTAAACCTCCTCCTCTTCCTTGCGATATCATTTAACAAATCACTGGAACTGGATTCACGGTGGTAGCCTCTATCAGATAAATATCTGGGGGTGAATGCTTCCCTCCTCCTGTAGTTGTTTTTACCCTTCAACCGTGAATATCTCATTTCATACCTGGACCTTCTCTCTTTTTGTCTAAGCTTGTATTTTGAGTATTCTTCATCACCATTCTGCTTCCACTTTGAATAAAAAGTGCGATGACTTGACCTACTTTCCTCATCGCAGGTGATGACTTTATTGGTATCAAGAGAACCTCCTTCTGAGGTACAAGGATATGCACTCACTGATTTCTCCTCTTTGTTTATGGTCAGGGCTTCATTGAAGCATGCAGAATCACTACTAATTTCCTCGAAGAAATCTGTCAACTCCAAATCTAGGTCTGCTGACTTGTTGGGTGCAGAAACTTGGTTTTCCATTGTGGATTCGGTAACTCCGACCTGAGAGGCAGGGGTCTTTTCCAACAGATAATTCTGTGCCACAATCGGGGAGAACTGATCATTGGTTATACTGACAGTGAAATTGCAATAATTTTGAAACCCCATAGCCCAATGTTTGGCAGAATATGCATTCCTTCTTCTTTGTGGTTTACGCTCAAGAGTTCGGAGAAGAAAATCTGTCCAGAAATCATCATCTTCTTGAACTTGTTTTCTCCTTTTCAGGTTTTGAATTTGGCTCAATTTGGTTGGGGCAAACCTAGGTTTTCTCAAATGGATTTGAATACCATTTCCCTTAGCCAGGACAAACCTCTCCCACTGACGTGCTCTCACCTTGTGCCTTGGTTGTAGGCACATACGGGTATAAGTTGGAGATTGATAGTAGTTTAATAGATAGTCAGTAAATTCCTCTGTTTCATATATCTTCTTTTTCCTGCCATGGTCTTGCTCAGATAATATGGAAGAATAGGGTTGACCAGAACTATCGTCGTCTCCTTTCTCAGGAAGCTGGCCTCCGATTATTGTAATCTTCAAGGAACACTTGTCAGGGAACACATCGTCCTCAGATTCATCACTTAATAATTTTCCAATTCTCTTATCTCTAGCTGAAGAATTTATTCTGTTTTCCTCAAGGGAATGAGAATATGTATGTAAGTAAGCCTGAGTTAGCTCCTTCAGGTTTTGTATTTGTTTGTCGTCTGACATTTCTTCATAATTTTGAAGATGCATAATGTTTAAGTCTTTCTTTGGCATTTGCAGCATGTTCCCCAGAACACTTTTAGCTGCAGTGTCCCGTGGGCTAGTTTGTGAGGATCCCTTAAAAAAAATGTTAAAAATCTCACATGAAAAAAGGAACAGATTAAAGCTTTCTAAGAAATACTCAGTGATCAAAAAAGATGAACTCATGCCATTTGTGACAACATGGATGAAGCTGGAGGTGATTATGAGAATTAAATAAGTCAGAAGAAGTGATAACTATTGGATGGTTTCATTTGCATGCACAATATAGAGAAGTCAGTGGGGGGGGGCGGGAAAGCAAAACCTGAAAGCTGGCCATAAATCTGGGGGATAATTGCAGGGGAGGGGAGAGGGGAGGAGGGTCACATAAGGGGAGGGAGGAGCAGAAGGGATGGGGTAGATGGATCACGGGTGGGTGGTGCAGTGGTGATAGAAGAACTATGGGGACTATAGCTGAGGGGAGAAATGAAGTGCTATTAAAAATAGCAAAGATGTAAGGAAATAAATAAGGGAAACATTTAAAGAAAACTTTTAAAGAAAAATGGACTTTCTGACATTGTTCTAAAGAGGCTTCTCATACTAGCTGAATAGATCCAGACGAGGACCAGTTTTGCACTGAAAAATGGAAGGGTAAGAAATGAATTGTCCATTTCAAAAGACCACTTTTACTAGGTCCATATGTCCATCCTTCTGTTAGAACTTGCTGGGATATACATATCTTCAAGCACATGACCCTTTTTGCATTTGCTATATGATAAATTGCACTCATCACAAATTCTAGGTATTGTGCTGGGCTGGGACGTGAAGAGGAATACTTTCCAAACTGCCCAGAAAATTCTCAAACCAGAAAATACTAACAGGTGAGATGTGTGAGTCAATTGGCTGAAACAGAAATGGCCTTTGTTTTTTGTGCCAGCCTCATCCTGTGGACTGCAGGTGAGGGGGGTTGTCTCTGAGCTGCCTCCTTGCCTGTATCAGAAGGAAGCAAGACTCAGTGGAAGTAGTGGCCATGGGGCCTCGCTGGTGGTGCAAGGGGTTAAGTCTCAGCATTGTGAAGCTCTCTGCAGCCACTGCAGCATGAGTTTGGTCCCCAGCCAGGGAGGTGACCCACATGGCACAGCATAGCTCTTCTGTCTCACCTGCTGCTCCCCTCAGTGGTGTGTTTCACTCCATCTGCCTATTCTGCTTCCCACTCTGTCTCTGGTGAATCCACCTGGGCCCTCCACACCTGTGGCCTGTCCCCCAGTTCTTGTATGCATAAATAAATCTTTAAAAAAAAAAGCTGTGGCCATGACAGTGGCTCTGTGTGTGGTCTGCACAAATACCCATAAGCCCTACCCCACCAGGAGAGTGTGCACAGCATTCCCCCAGACATGGGGCACAAAGTTGGGCACAGTGCTTACTCATTACCTGAGATAAGAATCTGGGGACTGCATAATTAGTTTAAGTAGCCAGTGGGCTGAGAATTAGGTACCACAGACATTATAGAGGCAAATTTTTGAAAAGGAGTAACTAAGGTCAACTAGAAAGGACCCAGCTTGCTTATCATAAATGCCAACGTGAGCTATTTCTGATCCTGATTGCACTAACTTTGATTGTCCACACCAATGAGAAAAAGGTGGAGACTGCAAATATACTTGACATGAATGCTAATATGCATGCCATTAACTCTATTTAAAAGCACTGAATGTGAATTTTTAGATTAAGAGTTTGGGAGCTCTTCTGACTTTTATTCTGAACATCTGCTAACTCTGGTTATCTTTCAGAGCTAAGTGGGGAGAGGGGGGACCTTCTGAACTGAAACGCTCCAAACTAAATAACTGCTCTGTGATGTGAGAAATTCCATAGCAAATAGTTTAAGGCTAGACTAACATGAGCTTGCTACACAAAGGTGTCTCCTTCAGGCTCTCCCTTCTCATGGGAGCACGTTACAGATAAACAGACAAGTAAAGTTAATGGAAGACTATGACCCTAACCCCATGTGCCATTTCCTCCCTCTGACATTTTCTTGTACATCCAGGAGAGACAGTAGTGCAGGGCTCTAGGTGATATCTTCCTTGAGTTTGGAAACACAAAGTGGGGGGAGGGGGGCTCTCGGGGGGGGGCAGTGGTGAAACACAAGTCCTTTAGAGGATTTAGGTACCGCTAGTGAAACAATAAATGGGCTTATTAGCGCTCAACCTATGGGAAACAAACCCCAGTGAATGCAGTGAGTGTCCACGGGGCCATGTCAACTAGGCCATGTGCAAGTTGTGTCTCAGGAAGGTGAGTACTTACCAAAATAGAAGAATGATTGGTGAAGAGCCTAACTTCAATTTTCCTCAGGAGTACCCGAAGCAACCGAAGAGCCTCCACACGCCTTTGAGTCAGCAGGTACTTCCTCTCCTCCCATTCCACTGCGGAGTTGGGCTCCTGAGCTGTCTCAGCCTTGGCTTTATCCGTCTGTCTCCTTTGCCGGTGTCTGTCCCTTTCCTTCAGGGCTCGCCTCCTGACTCTGGCCTTCTTCCTTTTTTCCTGGGCTTTCCTCTCCTCCTCTTTTCTTTTCCTGGACAATGATTAAAAGTTAATCACTCAGAAGGTGTTGACAGTCATGTGTCACTTCATGATGGGGATTCGCTCAGAGAATGCATTGTTAGGAGATTTTATCACTGTGCTAATGTCCTAGGATGTAGTTACGGGCATCCAGATGCTATACCCCGCTACACTGGATGTTGTAGTCTGCTGGGACCACCGTGCTATACATGGTCTGTCATTAACTGAAACGTGGTTAAGCAATGCGTGACGATGTTAGGCATTTGATCGCCTCCCTCTTCTTCCACGTCAGGGGAGGACAGGTCATAGAGGTTTCCAGGACTCTCTCACACTGACTCCAGGGCCTGACATAGAAAATTTACGACCAAAAACATTGGGTTGCATTGGTCAGGGAGAAAAACATGAATGAGTTGGGTAGGTAAGAGCCTGTACAGGAGACTTTATGCAGAGATAGTATCAAGAAAAAAGAACGCTACAGACCTAAGAGGGGACCTCTGGCCCTATTTTCTCAAACCACAAATAGGGATACTGAACTCAGCTTTCATGTGAGGGTGTCACTTCTATTATCCAAACCTTCTGTGAGTTCTGGCTGCATGCCCACAGATAAGGGTAAAGTCAAGGCAGAGAAAACCTTATGCGTGAGAAGTGTTCCTTGGTGCATAGGACTGAATGCAGCACATGATCATAAAATCATGCCCGCTTAGAAGGGGGTGCTTTTTTTGTAAACTGCTGTCTTTTAGTTAGGACCCTCTGGAAATGTAGGAAGAAGAAAAAGGGACAATTTCTTGAGTGAAGACTTAGCCAAAATGTGGAGGTTGATCTAGACTGCATGCTCAGCCTGGTAATTGGGGGGAATTGGTATCATGACTAGATTCAAGTTCTGGCAAACATCACCCTTGGGAATTCAAGTAACTCCTAGCACCCACCAGACAAGCAAATGAGAGACCCACATTCCAATACTACCTGTCTCCTTTGAATCACCACAATTTACCTGAGAATCTACAAGAATAACCAAGTCAGGGGAGGGACCAGGGCCTTAAACTGTTCTCAGAGCCCTGTACTCTTGACCCATTTGTACTTGGTAAACCGTTGGCAACCAAATAACCCTTAAACAATGATAAGTTTAAAGAAAGCAGTAGAGAGGCTGTTGAAATTCACAGAAAAGACTTAGGCCAACAAGAATAACAGTCCCATGCCTTCTTGCCTATGGGTTAGTTTGCTTATTGGCCATTTCGTGGAAGAAAAGCTTTTCTAGACCTAGAAAGAAATCTTTAAATATAATTTAAATTGGTAAGCTAAGTAAAATTTTGGTACATTGGTAAAATTTTTCATTTGACTGGCTAGGATTTTTCATTATAAAAGATCCTTTTTAAAAATATATATTTTTCCCAGATCTCCTCAGCTGGTTAGTCCAATTATTCTTCACTACTTGTTCTTCCTGACAATATTGCCTTAAAACAAACAACAACTCTTGGTCAACTGTCTTGTCATTTGGCTTTGCTACAGCACAGTCACAGAGTGTAGGTATCAGTGATGTTTTCTATTCTGTATCAATTTCTCTGGCCACCTTCATATTATCTATCAAGTATAGCCACTCTCCCAGAGGGTAAAACCCATAAATCAAGAGTAAAAAACCCCTTCACTGAAGCTGGTCACCTTACCTCTCAGTCTCTTCCTCTTCTCTCTTCTTTTCTTTCTTCCTTTCTTCCTCAAGTTCTTGTAATTTTAGTCTTTCTTGATTCCTCCTCTTGATAGCTCTTTCACTGAAGTGTTTAGTTGTATCAAGCATAACCTGACCTCAAACAATTTAAAATTCCATTAGACAAGTTTGCCAGCTGGCCTGGCCTGGTGTGTCCCTGGCTAGACCAACAAAACTAATATGGACATGACTATTCAAAGAGCACCCATACTGCTCCACAGCCTCTGGTCTCTTGCCAAGTAACCTGTGGGCTTCAGAATTTTCTTTGGCTGTGACTTCATAGTCACTGGTGACATCACAGTGCCATTGCTTAGATACAGTCTCTGAGAAACATGAGTATACCATCTCTGGTTATGAACACCAACTGAGATAAGGTATTTTTTAATCACCAGAGACAAATAGACAGTTTTGTCTAGAAGTAAGAGTACATGAAACTGACCTCAGGAGAATTAAGATCTGACTGTAGTGATTATTAAACTACACTGTAAATCTTTCTCAAATAAAGTGACAGTCACATCTAAGCACTACAAATACATTTGCTTAAAAAAATAGGAGGCAAAAGTAGTGATTGAGACGTGAGGGACAATGATTAGCAACAAGTTTATGTTATCTTTGGTGGATAGTCACAGGACTGAGGATAGTATGCGGGGGAGGGGGGGTTCCTATCTCCCTGATAGAGGTTTCTTTTTCACACTTGATCTTAGCCAAAAGGCTGAGAAGTGATGATAAAAGTTTCCTTTCAAGCTGGCCCACAGTATGGGGTTTTTGCTTTATCCTATCTGAGTGGCTCTTAATTTTTAAATGTCCATTTTAAAATAAGTAGTTCCACAAATAATTCTCTCACATGGAGCATCTTTGAATGTCCTAAAGGAGATAGAACAGAGTCCCAGACTTTAACCACTGTCATATTAAAGCCACAGCTGGCAGCATACCTGAGAGCCGGATTCCATTTCTTCCTGAACATCCATATATTCCTGATAACACCAATCTTTACATTAGCTAGGGATCAGAGTCTAGTGGCATCTAAAGATTTTTTTTTCTAGATGCTTCCTTCTAGGTTTTACTCTGGACCACAGGAACTGTGGGAAAGAAAAGAAACTGGCTATCTTACCTTCATGTTACATGCCAGAGCTTTCCCATCGTCACCCTTAAGCATAAGCTTCATCCCTCGAAGGGACTCCATGGCTTTGACAAAGTCAGTTGACTCTTGGTACTGTATAAAGGCCTCGAAGGTCTGCAAGCCAAAGCTGAAACCCCCAAAGCTCCCACCAGTCATCACTTCTCTGTAGGGGTCGAGCATGGGGATATCTACATTCTTGATCTTCCCAAAACTTTCAAAGACCACTCGAAGGATCTCTTCACATGGCTTCTCCCCACTGGAACCTTTGGGTGCAAACCACTTGCAAGGCAGGCCTTCAAAATAGATAGAATCTGGGCTCTTATCGAGGTCCTGCTCGTCTCCTCCATCACTTGAGGAGGCCTCCTTTTCCTTGGGGAAAGGTTCCCACTCTCCCTGGGCATCTGTAGCTACAACTTTTAAGTCTGTTTTCAAACCATTTATCTTGATGATCTTCCCATGTAACTTGGCCTTCAGGATCTGAACCAAACTTCGAGTCTCAGCCTCACCCTCAAATCGGATGAAGTCTTTTGTACTTTTGGAGAGGCGGACTGTGGTAAACTGATCAGGACAAATCAGGCTTTTCAGTTGGTCCAGAACCTCCCAGTTAGAGAAGGGTCGCACAGGTTCTGTAGTCTCTGGGAGCAGTACGTTGATCATCAGTTTGGCTATGGGCTTGAGGTAGAGGTGTCGAGCTGCACAGAGCTCTGTCGCCTCAGAGTTATCATAAACCACCGTGACCATCATGGTAGCTTTGGGAAACCTTAGAAGGTGAAAGAGAACATTTTCATACCAGTGAAGGAAAACACAGATTTGGGGTTTTTAATTTTTTAAACGATTTTGGGTTTTGAATGATAGTTTTGCTGGACTTTGGTCCAACTGGTAGAGGAAAGGATCCTGCGGGGAAAATTAAGACAAGACTGTGCATTTGTTTCATATTTTTACAGTTTTCAAAGAGTTTCCATGTACTGTGTGTCAGTTTCCTTACCTGAAAAATTGAGAGTAAAGAAATTCTGGGAGGAGTAAATGAGCAAGTGTATGCAAAATCTTTCGAGTAGTACCTGGCACATAAGAAGTTCTCAATAAACATAAGCTATGAATATTAGTATTTATTAGTGGTGGCAGTAATATCTTACCACATTTGATTCACGAGGCAACCTGTGAGTAGGTATCTTCCTGTCTGTTTTATACATGAGGACACTGAGATGGGTTCAGGAGAATTAAACGACTTGCCCATAGAAATACCAAGATTCCAAACCTCCATCTTACTGTGTACAATTAATCTCAAAAGTAAAGTCCCATAAAAACCTTAATGCAGTATACAGACATCTCCCGGTGTTCCCTGTGCTCCACACCTAGTAACCACTGTTCTACTCTGTTTTTAAGAATCCAACTTTTTCAGATGCCACATAGGAGATCATGCAGTGTGTTATTGATCAACCAGTTCTTTCAAAGGCCATCAAAAGCAGGCGCTAAGATATTGTGATCTAGAACTCCTATGATAGCAACACTGAATTGGGATGATATGAAAATAAACAAGCTCTCTTTCTCCAAAAACATTATCTGAATAGTAAAATAAAGAAATACATCCAGTTAGCTTGCTGCATGTTTCAAAATAAATAAGAATCAACACTGAGTTTCTGTAGGGGGAAAAGTAATTTGATATTCAACCAAGATATAACAAACCCACAAATTTGCCTGCAGTCAATAGGTATTTATTTTAACAACCTAATTTAAAGCCATAGCTTTTTAAAATATTCCAGAAAAAAGACACTTCAAAAAAAGTTATGAAAAGTGATCAGGTTTTGTGGTCCTTCCCATTTATTTCAGTGATATTACCTTTGTTTTAACCTTTTAGAATGCATCTCTTGGACTGATTCCAAAGTCTAGGTTACATTCTTTTATTTATTTATTAGTTTTATTTTCACACAGAAGATACGGGGTGTAGGTCAGGAGTGTTGGGGGAGGGGAGTGAGAGGATTCACCAGAGACAGAGTGAGGAGCAGAACAGGCAGACTGACTGAAACACACTGCTGAGGGGGGCAGCGGGCAAGACAGGCGAGGTCTGCTGTGCCATTTGGGTTACATTCCTAGCTGGGGATGGAACTCAGGCTTTAGCAGTGAGAGAGCTGAAACTTAACCCCCCCAGGCCACTACGGAGACACCCTGTGTTACATTCTTCTAAATAATCTTAATGAAGGTCAATTTTGAATTCTTTTATCATGGCTTTGATATTTGGAAATCATCAAAAATTATCTATAATCAAGACTTTGGGATAAAATGAATGATGCTAAAGAATAAACTGATATTCTTTTTTTTTAAATACAGTATATGTATTTTAAATCAATTTATTCCTTTTATGTTTGACTCTATAAGTAAATTATCCCATACCATAAAGGGAAAATCAAAGTGACAAATGCTAATATGTGTAATTATTTTCTGATGTGTTAGCTCTAATTTTGTCATTAACAGGAATTGTTTAATCACCATTGACGTTTTGGCTTGTCATTCTCAGATCATGTTAGCTAAGGCTTATCAACCACTATTTAATGGAAGGAAATGCAAATGGCTTTTCTATTATTCCTAATCAGAAACAGATATTCTTAACTGATTCATAACCCCCCACTGAGAAGACGATTCCAAGAAAGGCTCCAAGTATTTTAATTGGTGGGTACATTGTTGAAAGGTGGCAATTTGAAAGGACAGTTTTCATTTGAATGTTGGGTTATAATAGTTGCAAAAATGTTGCCAATTCTCTACCCCACCCTGTATCTACACCTTTGGTAATATGGCGCAGTTATTGCTATCGAGAACGTCTATTTTCCCCCAGTCCCTGAATGCGAGCTCATTCTAAACCTCAAGAGGCCCTTACTTTCCTGGAAGCATGCAGGGCCAAGAAGACAAACCTGGACTAGCCTGCCAGAGAATGAGAAGCCAAATGGAAAACAACCTCACTGATGACAGATGCACCATCTACACAAAAGCCCAATCCAACCCCCAAGCACCACTGACACAGGAGTACATCTAGCCAAGGTCAAGAGCAGCCGTCACACATCAGAGCAGTGGTGCCAATCTACAGACCCGTGAGAAATAATAGAGGGCTGTTGTTTATGCCAGGAAGTTGAGAGATGGCTTATTATGCAACAGTAGCTTGTGTCGTGATGGCACAAACATCTAAGTTTCAAGTCATTTCAAGATGTACAATGCCATTTAATAGTTTTTACACTAATCGATACAAATTATGAAGGCTCATTCTTGGGAGAGTTTTGAGAAAAAGAAAAAAATAATAAACATCTTCATACCTTGCTGGAGAAAATGTAAATTAATTACAACCTTTTCTAATTTGGCAAAATAACCAAGAATCATAGAAATGTTCATCCCTTTTGATCCATTTGCTCTTATCCTAGGGAAATAACAAAATAAATATGTTCAAGCCTCCTTATTGCAGTCATTTAGATATAATCTTGTCATGCTACTGTCGATCTAGAAGTAAAGTTTGGATGTAGTGCTATATTATTTTTTGCACGGCAGGTTTATTAATTTTTTTTGCAGATTTAATAGAATTTTTAATAGCTACATTTTAGTCACTCATTTATACTTATGATAATATAAATGGATTCATTTAAAACTTCCATTTTTTCTTCTACTGAAGATTAAATTCACAGAGACTACTAAAACCATCAACTTTCTGAGTTTTTTTTTAAAAAATCTCAAAACAGGGCCCTCCCTGGTAGCGCAACAGTTAAAGTGCAGCACTGCAAGTGAGCCACAGGCTCTTCATTCCCTCTTCAGTGTGAGTTCGATTCCCTGCCAGGGAGGTGATCCACATGGCGAGGCAGACCTCTCTGGTACTACCCACTGCTCCCCTCAGCAGTGTCGAACTGCGTATTCTGCTCCCCACCCTGCCTCTGGTGAAGCCTCTCAGGGCCCCTGAACCTCTGGCCTGCACCCCAGTTCTGTGTGCATAAATAAATTTTTAAAAAATCTAAAAAGATAGGAAGGGTATGCCCCAAATCCTTTGTAAGGGTGGTTTACTTCATCTCCTTCACAAGGGTGATTGCTACCCAAAACAATATTTTAGTGGAGTATAGTAAAAGTTTCCTGGAGTATAGTAAAAGTTCCCATCAAAGTGGAAAGAAATGAGTCAGATGCTGATTTTTTTAGTGTTTGATATACTGTACTTTGGGACATATTTTTTAAAAATATCATTTCTATCTCACATGAAGCAAAAATAAGTACATTCTAGAGCGAGGTCACAATTTGGTGACTACAGTGGACAACAAGATGGAGTCGGTGAGCAAAGAATACTGAGCAGAGCCTAGGGGACAAAGGCCTTCCTCCATGCAAACAGAACCCTGCTCCCCAGCTCCAGCCACAGGGAGGGAAGCCAGCTTTGGCCACTAGACACTCTTATTCTGGAGAGGCCAGCATTCTAGCAAAGTCAGAAATCTAGGTCCTTATGTAAAATCTGAATTTCAGATGTTGGCAAGCGATTAAAACAATTTACAAGTATTGTGAAATGCAGCTAAACATATCAGCTAGCCTCATTTTGCTTGCCAATCTGTGACCTTTGCTCTAGAATCTCTTTTCACAGCTGTTTCTCCAGTTAGCAGACTCTCTATGCCTCGATTAGGAAGCATGAGTTATTTTCTGACTTTCCCAAGAACACCTAATTGCTTAAAAAAAAAAAACTGACCTCCTTTAAGATTCTCAACTCAAATTCCTGTTTCTCAACAAGAGCAACAATCAAAAATTAGACATTTGTTCTCCTATCTTCCCTGTTGTTCACAGACACGGGAATTGAAAAGTAAATGTTTACGAATATTTCACCTTAAAGTACAATCCTGGAACAAAGCTAAAATTCTGATCTTATTTTTAAAAGTACCAAGGGCCACGGCCCTCCCTGGTGGTACAATGGGTTAAAGCACAGCACTACAAAGCTATCCACAGCCACTGAAGCATGAGCTCAATCCCTGACCTGGGAGGTGACCCACATGGTGCGGCAGACCTCACCTGACCCTCCCACTGCTCCCCTCAGCAGTGCGTTTCAGTGTATCTGCCTGTTCTGCTCTTCACCCTGTCTCTGGTGAATCCTCCCACCCCCCACACCTCTGGCCTGAACCTCAGTTCTGTATGAATAAATAAATAAACCTTTAGAAAAATATCAAGGGCCTAGTGTGTATCAAGAAGTAGGCTTTTTACAAATGCCATGGCTTCAATTCTCCAGCAATGTCATTGCAACTTTTGTCAGGCCGATGAAAATTAACTGACTCATTGGAGCAGGATTATTAATAATACCCACTGTGATGCCTTTTACCTTAAGGAGACATCACGCCAAAAACTAACAAAAAATGAAGAAGAACGAGAAAGAGGAGGGTAAAGGTGGAGGAGGCGGAAGAGAAAGAAGAGGAAGAAGGAGGTAGATCTGGATTTACTGATGTGGGAGGATACCCATGATAGTTTTTAGAGAAAAAAAAAGTAAAAGCAAGTTTCAGGAGAATAATGTGTAATATAATCTTGTTTTGTAAGGAAGGCAATACACATACACCAGCACTGTGCATGCGCGCGTGCACACGGACACACACACCCCTAAAGTCTGGAAAGACGACCATCAAAGTGTTAACAATATTCCCTTTGGGAAAGGAGACAACCATATTTGGTACAACAGACACCCTGGAAATTACACTGATGAGTCTGCATTATTACACCACTTTCCATCAGTATTTCTCAGAACTTCAATCTTACCT